GCAGGTGGGGAGAGTTGATGGCAAGTTAGAGAACGCTCTTGGCATCACCAAGGCCAAGTTACGTGAAAGCCAAATCTTTGCCTTGGTTGTCACATGCAGCAGACGGGCAATGAAACTAGCCCAGGCCCATACCATTTCATACTGGAGGGGGTAGAGGCACACAGCTGAAAACTACCCAAAGAAGCCCCCCCCCCCCCGCGGGCAAGATAAGGAAAACAAGCACAGCGGGGAAATGACTAGGCTACTCCTATATGCAAGAAAGGATATTCCCCCCCAACTCAGCTGAACACTCAACTAAACAATTCTCCTGCCTGCAGCCTCAAAGCCAGGCTGTCTAGGCACAATTTTATGATCCTTGCTTCCATTTGTACAAGTAAGCTGTTATGGCTGGCTGATGCAATATTTAATGTGAGCACAGAATCAGACACAACCTCTTTCTGGTGCTGCACATACAAGCAAACTGTTAATGTGTGAATCAGTCAGCCACAGAAGAGGTCAGATGTGATAGCAACTCCCACAAACCAAAGATATAATCCCAATCCAAACTGCTACATGCTACAGTCATGAGAACCTCTGCTAGGTGCGTCCCTGATCTGTCAGTGTGGCATTTCTTCCTGTGAATGGATCCTTGGGGAGGGTTAGGACTAACTGCGCACCGAAGAAGCACGCTTATGTGAACTAACCACAGTCTGACAGTCACTCACTAACTCGCTACTAGAGCCCTCGTGCAGTTCTGAAACAATAAGTTAAGGTGCACCAGGGGCTCATTCCATACACACCGCTGTAATTAGACATTAAATTTATAAACAGGCCTCCAAGGTGGAGATCAGCAGGCGACAACCCAAGAGCGACTCCCAGCCCCGCAAGGAGCTCCCTCCAGTCCCGGGCTGCCTCCATGCAGCATGATCTCACCACTGGGCTACTCATTCTGGGAGGAAACAGTGGTGGTGGTGGTGGTGGTAAAGGCATTTATTTCAGAAGGAAAAGGCCAGTTTGGTGCAGTGGTTAAGTGCGCGGACTCTAATCTGGGATAACCGGGTTTGATTCCCCACTCCTCCACTTGCACCTGCTGATGTGACCTTGGGTCAGTCACAAGCTCTGGCACAGCTGTCCTTGAAAAAGAGCCGTTTCTGTCAAGAGCTCTCTCAGCCCCACCCACCTCACAGGGTGTCTGTTGTGGGGAGGGGAAGGGAAAGGAGTTTGTAAGCCGCTGTGAGACTCCAAGTGAAGGGCGGGGTATAAATCCAATCTCTTCCTCTTCTTCTTTGTGGGCAGGTGTGGGCCATATGGCCCCCTGGTGCCAGCCCCTGCTCTAGAGCATAAACAGTAAAAGGGACCAACCGGGGGACACTGGCACAGGCTCCTTCGTAAAAGCACAGGACCTTCTTTGATCAAACTCTTTGATCAAACAAGGATTGCAGAAGCCCTCCTTAGCAGAGCCTTTCTTTGATCTGAGAAGTTCTATAGGCTTCCCCCCCTCATAAAGTTTACACACTCCAATTAAAATGGTATTTATTTATTTATTTATTGCCATTTATATTATAGTCTTGTCTTCCTCACTTGGACTCTAAGCAGATTTCACAGAGTGAGTCAACAGAATCAACAGGAGAAGACATTCAATGAACAGTACAATACAGCCGGTGGTGCAAAGCGCCGTCAAGTTGCAGCTGACTTTTGGCAACCCTGCAGGGGTTTCAAGGCAAGAGACTCTAAGAGGTGCTTTGTCACTGCCTGCCTCTGTGGCAACCCTGGGCTTCATTGGAGGTCTCCCACCCAAATACTAACCAGTGCCAACCCTGCTTAGCTTCCAAGATCTGGCTATCCAGGTCAGAGCTAGAGGGGGCTGGAATATTGTTAAGTAAAGGATCAAATCTATTCCCCCATAGTTACCACAGTGGTACCAAACTGATGAGGACCAAGTCCTGAGGCTTAAGCCATGGTCCGCAAGGCAACTGCCCAGAGCAGACAGCTTTAAACGGGTCTCTCTGAAATGACCAAAGCAAGCTCCTCCCCCAAGAGTGAGCCTTCATTTGCAGTCCAGGTTGAGATCTTCAGGCCAATACTGATCATCCATGTAGTGGTCATTATCTGTGCAGTTATCTGGAGAGCTGCTGGGAGGACTTGTGGAGAGTCGGTCAGTCACTTCCTTCTCCCACTGTATCTCCACCAATCGGTACAGTTCCATAGAGGCCTGAGCATCTTCTACTGATGAGTGCCCACTTTTGCTCACCTAGCAGGAGGAAGAGGGAAAAAACTTGCTTTGAAAACAAAGTTCCAGTCCTTAAAATTCACCACCATTCGGCATACCTCAAGATGAGTATTGACTATTGTCATTTACTCCACACCTTGGCAGCACTACCCTAACGGTTAACAGGACACTGTGCTGAGCACAGTGGAACCCACAATGTAAGCCCAGACCAATGTTCCCTCTAAGCTGTGGAGTCTTGTGAGAAAAAATTCTACTCTGTGAGCTACTGGCATTAAAGTTGTGAGCGAGCAATTTGGCTACTGCATTAATCAGTGTGCTCTGGAGCCATCCTTCCTGAGCTAGGACAAAAATGTGTGAGCCGGAGACTAAAAAACTGTGAGCTAGCTCAAACTAACTCAGCTTAGAGGGAACACTGGCCCAGACCCTTGGACTTTTTACTCAAAGGGGCTTAATCCCATGTAAATGTACAAGAGTCGCTGTGCCCATCTCCACACACTCTCAGATGCCACCCGAGAAAGCACACCCTATCTGGAAAGACCCAAAGAAAGCTGCAGGGATCCGCTGACTGGATAGGATCTGGCCTGGAGATAAAAAGCCCCTTGCTTTGAAGGCTGAGACATTTATGGTAACTCTGGGGAGAGGTCGTGGCTCCATGGTAGACCATCTCCTGGACATGCAGAAAGTCCTACATTCAATCCCTGGCAACTCCCCCTAAAAGGATCTGACAGCTGCTTGATGTGAAAGACCTCCACCTGAAACCCTGGAGAGCGGCTGCCAGTCTGAGTAGACAATACCAGCTTTGACGGACCCAATTCTTGACCTACCGTGGACAGCCTTGTGAGTCCTGACTTTTATGGATACTGACCCCAGTGTTTCTGCTGGACCCAATGAACTCATTTGCCTACTTCAGATCTGCTGTGTACTGGCCACTTGGCATAACTAGACTTTTCAACCTCTCTGACTTGCCACATCCCTCCCTGTCTGACATGAGAACCATGAAGATAAGCAGGAGTCATAGAGTGGGACATGCCAAGAAACAAGGACTGGAGAGACAGCACAGGGCAAGACTGCAGAGAGTTCAAAAGGAGTTTGTGCTGGGTACTGAAGAGGATGGGAAGCCCCTAAAGATGTCATGGCCTATTCATACATGCAAGCCTACACTGGACTCTGAACATTCAAAATGATGAGTGTGTGGGTGTGAAGCAGCCCAAGATTCACAATAAAGGAAGATTACCTGAATCTGTTTGTGTAGCAACTTCTTAGCTAGGCTCTTGAGAGATACACTGGCTTTCAGAGGCAGCCCCCCCTTCCCTCTCAGGAGGGGGCTCTGGCTAGTGTCACGCGTCCATGCTTGGGGATGGAAATACTTCAGGGCTCGGAAGTCGTTGTGAATAGCATGTCCCACCACAATTTTGTCTTTTAAAATCTGGAGGACCTGCAAGGGTGAAAAGGTTGTCAGCCCACCATATGGCAAGATTAGGGGTGGGGGCAAGAGTGATGTGCTCCTTATATTTGAAGATTAAGTGAAAGGCAGCATGATGTAGTGGTTTACAATGTCACACTAGGCCCATTTCTTATGTTCATGCCTCTCCAATGGCAGCATTTAATTGATTATTTTTAAAAGGACACAGATACTAGCCAATATGACCTAGGAGAAAATCCTTTGTGAAATCCAAAAAGACAGAAGGCAAGAAGCAGCCACTATCCAGCAGACCCCCTGAACCAAAACTATCTTCACAAGACAAATCAAAAGGGGAGAGATACAGTAAGCCTCCAGCCAGGGAAACACTTTGTTCTTCCAGCAGTTAGTGACCCTTGCAAGTGGTGGAAAGTGCCATCAAATCACAGTTGACTTATGGCGACCCCATAGGGTTTTCAAGGCAAGAGACATTCAGAGGTGGTTTGCCATTTCCTGCCTCCATGTCACAACCCTGGTATTCCTTGGAGTTCTCCCATCCAAGTACTAACCGGGGCCAACCCTGCTTAGTTTCCGAGATGTGACAAGATTGGGCTATCCTGAGCTATCCAGGTCATGGCAGCGAACCTTGGTGTTTCATAATAAAAGTGTTATATCCACTGTAGCTCTGGGGCAAACTCACACTCTCACCTCTGCCCGAGCTGTCATGAAAGGGGTTGCCGTCTCCAAGTGCCGCCAGGTGATCCCACTCCACCGAGTCCTATAGTCCACAACTGGAAGCTGTGGCCGGATGTACTTGTCATAGATCACATCACCATCATAATTCACCACTGTACACCGAGCCAGCTCACTCACTTTCCCAGCAGGACCTGTGCCCACCATTTCACAGTCTATGGCCACCGGCTTCTTAGACTTGGGCTTGAGATAAGAGAAAGAATCTGTGTCTGAAGCAGAGCTGCAGGGAAAGGGTACCACATTTGTAAGGTCTTGGGAAGATGAACATTGCCCGGCTGTTCCTGGTGATGGAACCAACGTTGCTGGACAGAACGTGCTACATTTCTTCTCCACCTCCTCCATGGGCAACTGGCTGGCTTCCCGACCCTGCATCTGGCAGGTCTTGGAGGGGTCTGACGCCATGCACAGGGTCTCTTCCTCCAGTGTGTGTCTCAGAAGCTCCTTCCATTCCAGCATTCTACGCGCCATACAACGCTGGTGTTTCCTGGACTTCTTTTTACTCTGTCTACCAGCTTCAGCACCTTGGGGAGCTTTATTGAGAGACTGGCCTGGGTCCCATTTGCAGCGGGGGCGGTTGAAAAGCTGGCCATCCACCCTCAAACTACCCACCCGGTCCCCTTTTGCTGGATTCATCCCTCCTAGGAGATGTTTGCTGCTAGAATGCATCCTGATAAAAAGAAGAAAAGAAAATGTAACACAGTCAGCAATGCAAGTGCAGGAAAGCTATGGAACCAAATGGGGACGGAGTGTGGTTCCGTGGTAGAACATCTGCTAGGCATGCAGAAGGTCCCAGATTCAGTCCCCAGCATCTCCAGTTAAAAGGATCAAGTAGCTGGTGATATAAACATTTTCTACTTAAGACTCCAGAAAGCCACTGCCAGTCAGAGTAGACAATGCTCTCCTTGATGGACTAATAGTCTGATTATGTACATAGGGAGGGAAATATTTACTACCTACTCATCTTGTTTTGATAGCCCATCTTATCACAAGGTTCCTTATCAAACTGCTGAAAAGGGACTTTTCAAAAAGGAATGCCTCCCCTCCTCCTATCAACCTGCCCATGCTTAAGTGACCCCCTCATTTCAGAGATTAGCTACACAGTAACAAGGGACAGTGCCTTTTCTCCAGTGGCCTCCAATGTATGCAACATTCCTTCCATAGAGACCTGCATGGCACATTCCTTATCTGCATTCAGTAGTCAGGAAGAGACCTGTTCGGTTTTCTCATGCCTTCAATGAACTACTGACCACTACAGCCCTTTTCTCCACAGGTTATTGTTTATCTGACTTTGTGTTATTTTTATCCATTTAGTTTTAACAACCGTAAGCCTTTTCGGAGTTGGTTTTTTTTAGCCGAAGCCAAAATATAAACATTTTAAATAAATAAATATGGACTGTGACTGGGGTACTGGTTTCTTAATCCTGACACCACATCACTGAAGACCCCTGTCAAGCGAGGCTCATCCTTCCAGGTCATTGTCATTGTTCTGAAGAATGGCAAGCCTGTCCTTTCCTGTTGGCTTTTTGCATTCCTGACTTTGGCTCTCCCAAGCTGTTATCGCTCCTCTGTCAGTCTCAAGTGGGCACAGGGCGGAATCCAGGCAGCCTGACCATACAGACATGTTTGTTCCAAACTGAGTGCAAAATCAGAGACTCTTATCATTCTTACTCATCCAGTGCTCTGTATTTTTATGAGGTTCTACTTTTGCATGCTATATGGTCCCCCTCCCCAAATACTAGTAAACTTTCCTAGCAAGGATCCAATGATCCATCAAATTGCTTTGGGGCATCAGAGATTAAAAAATCTCTCCCAATGGCTAACACATTAGATCCTACGCTAGGGGTGCCCAAGGGCCACATCAGGCCCCCGGAAGGCTTCTATCAGGCCTGCAGTGGAACTGGCCATCTCCTGCTTCCAGTTCTGCTGCTGCTGCATCATAGCTTGCTTCGCCAGACTCTTTCACTCGTTCAGCCATTTCGTGTCAACCTGGGCCCTAGAGTCAGAACTCTGAGCATAAGATTTCTGTGGTGAATGTCAATAAATCAAAAGTAGGTTTGCAGCTTACAGATACACACTTGAACAGCATACTCAAGATTGCAACAGACATTTTGATGCAATAATTTAGAGCAAGAGGTGTCAGTTATCAGATACTGTTAAATAACCAAAATATTGCAGAGTGCTAATGTTTGTGTCCTTTATAAAGTTTATATCTCTGCTACCTGGCATTACATTTTATGACACACATGGCCTGGCCCAACAAGGTCTCATTTAGATCATATCTGGCCCTCATAACAAATGAGTTCAACACCCCTGCCCTACCCAAACCTTACTCACCTTTGTGTTGGGTCTCTCATCTTAGACAATGTAGCAATGAAAGCTAGAGGAAGTGCTAGCAGCTTCAGAAAGTGGTCTTTTAGAGTAAATTCAGTCATAGGGTTGCCATCTCCAGCATGGGAAATTCCTGGAGATTTGGGGGCAGTGCCTGAGGAGGAGGGAGTTTGAAGAGGGATTTCACCTAGGATCTATGGTATACCACAGAGTTTGCCCTCTGAACCTGACAGCTTCTTCAGGGGAACTGATCTCTGCAGCTCAGTGCCGGGAGAACTCCAAGCCCCACCCGGAGGCTGAAAACCCTGCGACTACTACCGACTCTGACTGACAAAGGCTTCATGTATGAACCGATCCTTTAATAGAGGCTTCAGGAGCAGAATTCGGGGCCTTGCACATTATACAAGGAGATGCTCTGCCAAGGAGGCACCCCTACCTGTGGTGAACGATCGACCTCTGGCAGGACTGGCCACACTCATGCCTTTCTCCCTCCCCAAACGCTGACCTGCCCCAGAAGTCACTCAAAACGGGGAGTGGTCGCGATGACCGGACCTCTCTTCCTTTTGCCCCTAAACTTCCTGTTCCCTCCCCTGAACTCAGGCTTCCCCGGGCTTCCTCCCCAAACCTCTCATACCCTCCCAAATCCGGAAATCTGTTCAGGGCACGGGGCGCAGCACCCGGTCCCACTTACCTCAAGGAGCCGGCTACCCACGTGTCAATCCCGGAAGCAAAGACTACCGGAGAGCAGCCGACATGCCCGGGCAAGTCCGCCTGTGGGCCACGCCCCCTCGCGTTGATTGGCTGCCTTAGCCGAAGGGGCGGTGTTGATCGGCATTAGAGGGCGTGGCCTCGCGGCTGCTGGGGAAGGGCGCTGAAGGCTTCTTGGAGGCATGGAAGGCGGTCCCGCGGAATCCAGCAGGCGGGTTTATTCGGAAATTAGTCCCGCTCACTTCAACGAGTCGCTGAATACTTTTTTAGTATGGACAACCGGGGGGGGGGATAGAGCCAGGACAGGGTCCCCCTGCCTGTCCTCGGAGGAAGGGTCCAGGCATCCTTCGTTTCTTACCCAGCTGGGTACCATGTTACCAGGGGAGGGGGGGTTATAGGGAGGAGGGCACCTTTTCCAACGCAGCTTTGTGTGACTCCTCGGAGTGAGAAAACGTAGGAGCGTTTGTAGTCTCGGGGGGCGGCGGCGGCGGCAGGGCTGCTCTTTACTCACAGCCGCCGCCAGTGCCCTGGGAGCTAGGCTAGGTGGAGAGATTGACGGGCCCATGGTCGCCCAGCAAGCTTCCGTGGCAGACGTGGGATTCGAACCAGGGTTTCTCAGATCCTGGGCAACACTTTAACTGCTGTGCCAGGTTTCCAGGTCCGTAGCCAGGATTTTGTGGCTTGGGCAAAAAAATGTTGTGGTGGGACTGCCATTACTTTTATTATGTCAGCTCCAATCCACCCCCAAGCCCGACCGCCGCTGGCCACCCCCTCCCTCCCTCCCCTCCTGCAGCATTAAAAGGGCCCTCCAGCTGATCAGAGGGAGCACGTGGCTCCCCAATCAGCTGGTGGGCCCTTTACATTTTTAACCGCCCCTCTCCCTCCCCTCCTCCAAGATTTAAAGGGCACTCCAGCTGATTAGCAGTGCCACTTGGAGTTCAGGGAAGGCATGCAGGTGGCAGCTGCCTTCTCCCTCACCTCCTGCAAGGGGGGGGCTCCGTCTTACAGGCCCTGCGGAACTGCATCAAATCTCGCAGGGCCCGGATCTTGCAGGAGGGAGAGGGGTGCCTGCTGTCCCCCCCCCCCCGCTTCTTCTCAAAAGTATTTAAAGGGACCATGTGCGCAACCCCTGATTCTTCTAAAAAAAATATTGTGGGGCTGGCCCTTTAAGGAAGGGGATGAAGCCCCCAATAGCCCCACTGTAGCTATGGGCCAGCTTGGTGCTCACTACAAAGAACACCTGGGAGCATCACTCCTTCTCTTATCTGTCCTGGTCATCCAGGTGTGTATAAAGTCACACAGGTAACAACTTCTGTCCTGCCAGCGTCTTGTTAAAGCCAGGCTTAATAAACTACGTACAAAGAGTCGTGTCCCCCTAACATTTTTACTGCGGCATTACAATGTTGTGTGCTGGGTATCCTGTTTCTAGGGGTCTTTTCCACAAATGCCTAAGCCACAAAATATCAGCTGGTGTTTAATATTGGAGGATAAACCCATCGGTGGGCTGCTAACGATGGCTACTAAATGGAACCTTCATGTTCAGAGGCCAGTTGCTGAAGGGCGAGAATAGGGAAGGTTTGGCTCTTCTTTTGTGGGGATATTTATGCGGGTATCTGGTTAGCCACTTTGGAAGCAGCCTGTTGGACTAACTGTGCCATCCTCTACAGTCTAAGCCCATTCAAATAAATGATCCTGACCTGGAGTAGCTGGCCTAGGATTGCAATGTAAATGAACCTGTGCTCTGATCCAGCAGGGCCTTTCTCATGCTCTGTATCTCTTTTTGTCCTGTCCAACTCAGCTACCCTTCTGGAATTTCTGACCAGAAGCCAGAGTTACAGTGAGTTGGAAAGAGGTCTGTTCCAAGGCTATTTCAGTTAGAAGCATCGACAGGTATACTGCCTCTGAACATGGAGGTTCCATGCAACAAGCCCCACCCCCTGCTCCCAGCAGCCCTCACTCAGAGCAAGAAGCAGCCAGGTAAGTTGCAGAGCTCCCCCCGGCCCAAAACAGTCCAGTGGCACCTTTAGGACCAAGTTTTATTCAGGTACAAGCTCTCCCTCCTCTGCGAGGACAGATGATCTCGCCGCCCCCCCCCCCCAATAGCTAGCAATCCAAAACAGTCCAGTGGAACCTGAGCGGTGGGTGTTGCCTTCTGACACACTTCCGGTGATGTCTTGGGGTGTGGCATATGCAAATGAGTTATGCAAATGGTTATGCTAATGAGCTCCTGCACCTCTTTTTCTACGAAATGACCCCTGCTCATAGCTAATATTCCATTGATGGACAAAACCTCCACCTGTAAATATATTATTTGCATTATGTACAGTCAGTCTTTCTCACTGAAGCTCAAGATGGATTATACGCTCTGCATCAATGGAATCGATAGGATGAGACCGCTAGTAAGCAATAGAATAGGAACAGAATTACAGAAATCTGAAACAAAACATGAGTATTAGTTATGATATATTAAACAATGCAGGAAAATGGCATTACGTAGGTATAAAACCAGTGCAGTGAAAGCAAGATAACAACAGAGCAAACAGATAACATGTAGTCTATGGTCCGATTCCGTTTATCAAATACCTAGGCTGTGGGCTTCCTTTTTTCCTCCAGTGTGGCTCCCAGGCCCTTAGCAACAGCCTGAATTGCACAAAGGAAACAGGAAAAGTTCTCTTTGGCCCAGCATATGGGAAGGAGCCTCTTTTGGTTTGGGGTGTCAGGCTTGGTGTGGGGCCTCTAGGTGTCCATGGTGACCCTAAAGTAGTAGCCAAAGGGTCATTTATTGCTTGCCTTTGGCAAATGTGAAGCAGCTCAGCCCGTGCGCAAGAGATCTGTGCTTTGTTCTAACTCCTGAGCGAGTGCGTGGCCTGAGCTCGCGGCACGCCGCCCCTGTCTGGAAGGACTTTCATTAGCAGCTCTGCCTGGATCAGGTGGATTGGAAATTGCCTGCGATGGCATGCCATGCTTTCCCTGTCTCTTCCTGCCTTCTCATCCCTCAGCAGACGGGAAATTCTCATCTCGCAGCAGCCAGATATTCTGGCAGTGTGCAAGTGACTTTGCATTAAGGCCCGCAGGCCTGCCCGTGGCTTGAATAGCGGGCGATTGAGACAGAACATGCTGGTATCTGCTGAAGAAGCTAGTAGGAAAGTCTGACGGAAGCTTTCTTTAAAGCCTTTCAAAGAGAAGATGCCTGACAAATTAGTCTTCTGGCCTGTCTGGTTACCTGCCATGCCCTGCAGAGGAGTTGTCTGTCTCAGTGCCGAGAGGATCCTTCTTTCAAGTTAGACAGCGGTTGTCTGTCTCTAGGCTTCCTTTTTGCCTCTCAGCCCACCACTGTTTCATGAATTCTGCCACAAAATAAAATTGTATTCTTTTGCGTTGCATCTATTCCTGCACTAGAGGAGTTCTTGGAGAAATGATTCCAGAATACAGATTTCTCGCATGGCTTTTGAAGGTGGATTCTGCCACCCTTTACCCTTCGCTTTTTTTGTTTTGTTTTGCATTTATTTGTTCATTTAAAACACACGCACATGCACACATATCCCAGAGGCAGTGTGGTATAGTCAGACTGTTGAACTAGGACAGGGGCACCCAGTCTTTTCGAGTCCGTGGGCACCTTTGGAATTCTGGCACAGCGTGGGGGGCACAGCCACAAAATGGGTACCATAAAAGGGCTGCTGCAGGATGTGGAGCTAAAAATGGCTAGTGTTGCTTACCTTCAGTCACACAGTGAAGATCTGTGTGCTGTGGTGGTGGAGCTGCTGCTGCTAAAGCAGCATTTTTAAAAATCTGCACAGCCAATTAAATCTCCAGTGCCCAGCCAGAAACTTTGCTGGGCAGAAGCCCAATCTGCCACGCCCATGTTCTGAAAAGACTAGGTGGGTGCCATTTTGGGGACCCCTGGAGTAGGATCGGGGAAGAGACTCCAAGTTCAAATCTCCACTCTCAGGGTGCGTTCAGATGCGACGTTTCAGCCGGCATAAACTGTACCGGTTGGAACCGGTGCAGTTTATGCCGGCTGAAATGCGATCACACTCACCTCCATTTTGCAGATCCCATCGCTGCATGCCCGCTCACACGCTGCGGGCGTCAGCTTTTTTTTTTTTTAACTCAGTTTGAGCATGCGCATAGGCAGCCATCCACAGAATGGCGACCTTTGTGCATGCTCAAAACACCCCGTATTACATTTAAACTTTAAAGGTAAGGACTTACCTTTAAAGTTTATTAAAGACCAAACTGGCCTCCCTTAAGTCCCGGACTCCTCCGATACGCTACACTAAGGGCTTTTTTTAAAAAAAAAAAAAAATGCTCAGGGCGAAGCTTCGCCCAAGCGCATATCGCTTAGTTAAAAACATGGCGGAGGAAAATACGCAACCTCAGGCTTCCGAACGGAAGTGGCTAGGCACCGGTGGAGAGCGATCAGATGGCGGAGTTAAGCGAATGCAACCGTTGCACTCAGGATACCACCACTTGGGGACCTAG